ACCAGCTCGTTGGAGGACGTATCCTCGTGGACTGACAATGAAGACCAGGAGCCAGATGGGGAAGAGGACGAGGGGAGCGGCCAGTCCTCCGTCCACGGCGTGGTAAGCGGGTCTCTGGGCTGGTCTGTGGGATTGGTGTGTCCCTGAGACTTGGGTCAGAGGAGAAGTGCTTGGAGGTGATGGTGGAAAAACACCCAGAAGCACCCGGCCTGGTCCCAGTGTAGCTGTCTCTGGAGATGGGGAGAGGGGCAACCAGTACAAGGAATCTATCAGACGTCACAGCCCACCCAAGGTCTTCCCTGCTGTCACTTCTAGAAGAGTTAGTTTACTGAGAGGGAAGGGGACAAGAGGAAATTCGCTTCCAAACCAGAACTCTGAGTTACCATTTTTAAACACAGATGCACCCATTTAGTTAAAGACTCCTGGTATTGCCTTTTAGCCATGCCCTGGTGGTGTAGTGGTCACTCTTTGGGCTGCCAAATGCAAAGTCCCCTGTTCAAAACCACTAGCCCCTCCACGGGAGAAAGGAGAGGCTTTCTCCTCCCAGGTAGAATGAGAGTCCGAGAAACCCATGGGGGCAGTTTCACCCTGCCCTGTCGGGTCACCGTGGGTCAGCAGCGACTCGATGGTCGGGAGAGAGGGAGATGGGGTCGCTCTGAGTCGGAAACGACTCAGCGGCAGTGAGTTTGGGTCCAGGTTTGGCATTGCCTGTTTATCAGCGAAACTTCGACAGCCTTCACAGACAGCCTTGATTAAACCTGCCTCCAGATCCCGCTCAGCCACCGACCGTGCACCTGTAAGTCCGGGCGTGCCCCACCCCAGGGTGCCGCACATGCTGAGGGTCAGCTTTGAGCACCGTGGGAATCTGTTTTTCTTGCCTACCCCAGACCGTGATGAGGCTTTCTTTCAATACGCACCGTCTATCTGGTGCAGGTCTAGTTGGAGGATGGCGACATTCTGGGTGTTCGCAGTTTCCAGCCAGCTCGGTGGGTCTGGCTTTTTGATGGGGTTCTCTCACCGTCACACCACTGCTCAGGAGCTTGGTCTTAGAAACTTCTAAGGGGGACCCCTCCCTCATTCTATAACCTGTGCCCCAGGTCCACCCGGTGGGCCCTTCTTGCTTCTGTCACCGCCCCAGTTCAGCCCCTGCCGTGTAAGAACAGGATTGTTTCGCACA